TTTTGGTATATGTAGCTTGATGTAGCAGTAGATTATGGGTTAGATCCAGTTCCATGAATGTCAGCACTTTCTCTCCCAATGCAAGGAAACTTTCCCTGATGAGATGTGATGGGGGTGGGGAGGCCGCTTTTGTGGAATGCAGGATCCAGCCCTCTGCATATGATCAGAATAATTTTGTGAACCATATCCATTGTAAGGTGGCTAAAAACTCTAACAGAAGCAAATGAAAGAATCACACATATCAGGATTCAGTTTTCCTTTCTCTAGGACCCTGTTTGGAGTTTCATCCCTACCTGTTCCTTACATAAATGTTCATGAACATTCCTATCACTGCCACTGAGATACTTTGTGTGTGTGTGTGTGTATGCATGTGTTTCTGTATATGCACGCAAACACAATGTTATACATCTCTTCACACATCATTTTATTCATCTCTTCTGAGATATATCCCCCTCTGACTCAGACTTCCCCTTCTTTTTCCTGCCCTTTTCACATCTCTGAGCAATCTGCCTCTTATCTTTCTCAATACATTTCCTGCTCCAGTTCCCAGTCTTCTCACTGCCAAGCACCGTTGCTTATATTTTCCCTACCATTATGCAAGTAACATACCATTCTGCTAGTTTCTAGGCAAACATCTCCCCCTGATCTTTCACTTCCCTCTTAGAAGAGAGGCTGTTGTTAACATTCAATTGCAAACACAGTCACCCCGAGAATGTTCATGAACATCATTGAGCCTATAGCCATACACATGGATGAGAGCTGCACTTCATGTGGTTGCAGTGTGTGTTACAGGACTATCTTACAAAGTGGATGTATGTACTCCCCTTTGGAGAGGTTATCTAGCCTGTTCTTCTCTTTTCTATTGTAGAAATACTTTGGATTCTTCTCTGCCATAGATACGATTGTCCTGGCTTTCCTTATCTGTGAGGTACTTCTCAACTGGTACTATGGATTCTCATTGTACTGGAAGGTAAGAGCTGGGCAGCTGTTTCAAAGCACAGAGCAGCTGATAATTCATCTGTAAAGACAACATCCTTTATAAGGCATCTCTGTTTTGGGCAAAAGTTTAGGCTTACATCCTACTGCACTTCTTCTAGATCTAGATGTGTTGCAGTTCTGCTGGATTTAAATGAGGGATTCAGCCTTTCATCCATGAATCAGTTTGATTCCTCCATTTTGAAAGGACTTTGAATGAAGTGCCCCTGATTAATCAGACCACCAATTTTAATTAAAAAATACAAGTACTTATAAAAACCACAAATGGTAAATGCCATCTTAGAAGAGGCATTCTCTTTGAAAATTACTCCTGCTGCAGCAGATGTGTGTGTCATCTAAAAAAGGAGGTTTGGATCCTAACCTACATGAACACTCATAACAAGGGAGATTCCAGACCTCCCACTACAGATCCTGTAGTCCCCCTGCTTGCACTGGGAGTGTCAGTGTACTCCTTAGTCCTGGATCTACCATAAACCCCCACTACAGAGAGAGAGGGGGAGGGAGGGAGAGAAGGAGGGAGGGAGGGGGAGAGAGAAAGAGAGAGAATTTTATTGTTCATGTGTGTTTCGGGGCACTACTGCTTAACATTTCTTGGGTAGACATTTCAATTTTGTGACACTCTTCCTGTAGCCATCATTTACCAAGATGGTGGATATAGTTATTGGGGTATTTAAAATTCATTGGTCTCAAAATGTATGTTTTTGAGGTCTATAAAACCAAATATACTATTAGTTGTAGAGACAGCCCTTTCCCCTGTAGCCGCCATTTTGCGAGATGGTGGATCTTTTTTCACATTCTTGTAGGATGTTCATATTGGTGTCAAACCATATGTTTTGCAGATCAGTTAAACTCAATATACTATTCCTTTAGTTGTAAAATCAAAATAAAGTATTATTTTTAAAGATTTGTAATATTTTTTGGGGGGAGGATGAATCCAGACATCTTGTTTTTTTAATGTTTGTAATGTTGGGACAAAATGTAGCAGGAGAATTGTGAAGGTGACAGCTCCAAAAAGAACAGAAAATCATTTATTCTGCTGCCTTAAATATCAGTAAACAAAATATTAGAGTGCTTATTTGATATTTATCAAGCTTATATGTTGGTTAAACTCTCATTCTTAAACAAATGTTATGGTTCTAATACAAAAAGTAAATTGCTATGCAACATTTTTACAGTTCTTTTGACTCTTGCAAAAAAGAGAACAAAGTAGTCCAGCCTGCTTGCACTGGCATGCATTACGTTTGCAAGTTTTAGAGCCACACAGAATATTTCCTCTGGTATGGGTCTGAGACCTTGGTTGATTCTGCACACATCTGTTTCCTTGCAGTTTTTCCATAGCCACTTTGGGAGTCTAATCTCCCCCTACATTGCATGCCACTTTAATTTTCTTTGTTCATCGGGTTTTATAGTACCTTCTGCATAGATTTATGGCTGTTCAGAGCAGGGGTCGTTTCGTAGAAAAAGAGCTAGGGGAACTCATTAGCATAACTCATTAGCATATGCCACACCCCCGACATCACTGGAAGTGTGTCATAAGGCCACACACCCTGCCATCACCGGAAGTGTGTCATAAGGCCACACCCACCACTCAGTTAGTCTTAAAGGTTAGTCTTAAAGGTGCTATTTGTTAGTCTTAAAGGTGCGGGAATGCGAGGAAGCCCCGCGAAGCCCTTCCGCCCCCAACGGTCCCGGCCGCTGCCGCCGGCCTTGCGGCTCCACTGCCGAGCCCCATGAGGGGCCCGGCGGTGGACCTGCAAGGCCGGCGGGAGTGCGAGGAAGCCCCGCCATGGCCCTCCCTGGCCCCAGGCAGGCAGGGGTGGGGAGAGGCGGGGGGGAAGCAACTTACCCTCCCTCTTCTCCTGCCTCCTCCTGGCTGAATGAGGGCCGGAAGCGGGGCGGCCAGAAGCAGGGGGCGGGGGTTTGTCGTGTGCCCCGCCCCCCGCACCTCACCCAGGTCCCCCGAATCGACCTCTGGTTCAGAGGTGATTTTGCAGTCAGTACAGTGTTGCCCCAGGGTATCTGAATGTGGTTTTGAGCAGCACCTTTTCTTTCCTTTGCTTCCAAATCAAAGGGAACAATAAGCAGACAACTTGACATGGCTTCACTAATCTCTGTCAGTTCTCCCGCCCCTATTTCCCTCTCTGTATTTATCATCTCATCATGAATTACTTGGCTCAGGCACCTAATGACTGCTGAGGCAAGTACTGATACAGGAAAATCTGCATACCAATGCAGGAGCCAATGTTAAAAACAAAATAGATGGCAAGCAGAATCTGAGGCAATGCAATGAAAACAGATATTCTGAGGCAAGGGGGAACCAGGTCAAGTACTGAGAAAATCTGAAGCGAATGCCAGATGTAGAATGGAACACTGTGTTGATATCAAATGCCTGCTCACCTCCTCCCAGCTGTTGTCCACAGGATTCAGCATTTAATGGTTAGGAGAGAGGATTTTAATGGTTAGGAGAGAGGATTGTCACTAGCAGCCCTGGATAAGCATGGATGAGTCATCATCAGAGGATGACCTGTCCCTGAGACCCACATTGGCAGACAATCTCTGTAAGGTAGGTCTCAGAGAAGCAGAATCTCCTCCCAGAAAGGGACCCTTCACCAGCAGCCCCTAAATCAGAAAGGTTCTTATAAGACAGGAGGCATTAGTATGGGTAGCCCCTCTTCCAGACCCACCAGACCCTCCCCCAGGACCTCAGGAAAACATAAGGCAAAGAGCCAGGGTGGAGGCCGTGATGAGTCTTTACGGGATCTTGGCCCTGCTGCTTCTCAGGAGGAGGAAGGGTGACTCAGCTAAGAGCACTGATCCTAATGACTGGCCTCAGGTGCACACGGAAAGGAAACTGGCTACTTAAGCTGGCTCTGAGACCAACATCAGTGTGGAATCAATGTATCTGTGTGCTAGTGGATGATCCCACCTTGGAACTGTGCCCCTGAATCAGAGAACTTGTTGCCTGATGGACTGGGATTCTGCTTCTTGGATCCACTCCTGACTCTACTGCCTGCGACCTTGGACTTTTTTATTCTTGGACAGACCATACTGTCTATCTTTTGCCAGAGCTGAGTCAAAGCAGTGGTCCTGGATAGGGTTGGGCATAAACCAGCTGACAAATTAAAGTTTGTCATGAATTTTGGCTGGTTTGTAGTTTGTGAAGCAATGTTTGTGAACTGAAGAACCACCATGAACTTTTCATGAATTTTGATACAGTTTGCGGTGAAGAGCTGTTTGGTTTAATTGGCCCCGTGGTTTCTGCTCCCTATGGCTTTTCATGGGGAGCAGAAAGCAGGGGTTTAAATGGCTTGGAGCAATGTGACACTTGCTTTTGTTGTTCTGAAACAGATCTTCCCTTCTGCAAGTGTAGCCTTACCAAATGCTGTTTTAAAGATATGATCAGGGAAACCCCTGGTGGCAAGATTTTGTTTTAGGGTTCTTGCCACTCTTTGATATGTATTACACCAGACCGGCCCCTTCAATCTCATTGTCATCTTCTGTTTTGGAACAAGGCTCACCCCTAAGCCCCAGCAAAAGTATATTATCCAACAAAAAGAAAAAAGGTTTTCAGGAGAAGACACAGCAACCATCCAGAAAAAGATGGACACTCTAGTTGTTAATCTCTCAGACAGGATTTTATCAGAATATGAATTGCAAGTTCTCAATAAAGGTTTGTCTTTTGTACCTACTCCTATTGCAGAACAACAAAAGCAAGTCACAGAATGAGAGTGTAACAGTCAGTTTGACTTACGACCACATCAGTGTACAATTTAAAAAGAACATATATAGAAACTGGAATATGCTATATGATGTTCTGCTTTGTGATAAAAAACTAACACTGTCTTTTAAAAGAACATCCAGTTTAAAAGACAAACCAGTTCACAGCAACACCTTTGTTCCCATGAACCTACAAAGAACCATTCCAGGAGCAGGTTTGCCCAAAGGCCGTTTTAGATGCAGACACTGCAAGTGTTGTAACCCAATTCAAAATATGAAAAGCTTTGATAAAAAAAGAATATATATAAATCTTACCATCATAATGAAAAAGTTCTGTTAAAAAAAGGAAATGGAGTGGATTTTAAGGTTGCATACTTTGGCACCTCATTGGTTAAACTCTGATCTGGGACTTCTGACTTTGCTCAGCTAATCGCTGTATTGTATAAAGAAAACCCTGACTGTTCCCTGGAAGGCCAGATAATGAAACTGAAGCTCAACTACTTTGGCCACCAAATGAGAAGGGAGCACTCACTGGAGAAGACCCTGATGCTGGGAAAGATTGAAGGTCAAAGAAGACGGGGACGGCAAAGGATGAGATGGTTAGACAGTGTAATCGATGCAACGAACATGAAATTGAGCCAACTTCAGAGGACGGCGGAAGACAGGAGGGCCTGGCGGGATCTGGTCCATGGGGTTGCGAAGAGTCGGACTCGACTGTGCGACTGAACAACAACAACATAAAGAAAAAGCTGCATCATTCCCCACTGTAAAAGAATTGAATTGCTGTGGACAGTCCCAGCACTAGGTGAATGTTCTATTCAGTATTTACTTCATATGTCTTGCTTCATTTCCAATGTATAGTTTTGTTTATCTGTATATATAGTTTATTGTATATTGTATTCCAATGTATAGTTTATTGTATATTGACCAAAAATGTATCTATTTTTGGAAATTAATTTTCATCCTGTCTTTTAAATACTATTTTTAATCATTCTGGAGTAATTTTTATCAAGGAGTCTTTTTATTAATTGTATTAAATACAAAATTATGTTTTTATAAATCCCCCCTGATGAAGCCTGCACAGCGAAACGTGTAGAGATTTTGTATAATGCATCAGTCATCTATCACCTGGCATTTCACCCTTTTTGTTCTGCTGTCCCAACATTACAAACATTAAAAAATAACAGCTTGTCTAGATTGATTTCCCCTTCCAGATATTACAAACCTTAAAAAAAAAAGTTTATTTTGCTTTTACAACTAAAGGAATAGTATATTGGGTTTAATTGACCCACAAAACAGATGGTTTGACACCAATATGAGCATCCTACAAGAATGTGAAAAAGATCTGCCATCCTGTAAAATGGCAGCTACAGGGAAAATGGCTGTCTCTACAACTAATATAATAGTGTATTTGGTTTTATTGACTAATGAGCATCCTATGTGAATTTTAAATATCACAATAACCATATCCACCGTTCTTGAAAACTGGTGGCTACAGGAAAAATGTCACAAAATTGGAAGTCTCCCCAAGAAAATGTTTAATCAGTGGTGTCCTAAAACACACACAAACAATAAAATCCTCTGTGTGTGTGTGTGTGTGTGTGTGTGTATATATATATATATATATATATATATATATATATATATATATATATATATATATATATATATATATATATATATATATATAGCCACTGATGGACCTCTGCTCCATATGCTTATCTAATTCCCTTTTGAAGCCGTCCATGCTTGTAGCCGCCACCACTTCCTGTGGCAGTGAATTCCAAGTGTTAATCACTCTTTGGGTGAAGAAGTACTTCCTTTTATCCGTTCTAACCCGACCGCTCAGCAATTTCATGGAGTGCCCACGGGTTCATGTATTATATGTTTATAAATTTGTGGGGGTCTGTGGTGGATTGCTGTGGTGGCTCAAGTGGTTAAGATGCTGAACTGCAGGCTGTGGAAGGTCAGTAGCTCAGCAGTTCGAGACCCGGGTGCTGCATAATGGAGTGAGGTCCCATCTCTAGTTCCAGCTCCTGCCAACCTAGCAGTTCGAAAGCAAGAAATTGCAAGTAGATAAATAGGTACCACTTCAGTGGGAAGGTAACAGCGTTCCGTGCGTCTTGGTGTTTAGTTATGCCGGCCACATGACCACGAAAACGTCTTCGGACAGCGCTGGCTCTTCGGCTTTGAAACGGAGACGAGCACCGTAACTCTAGAGTCGGATTCGACTGGCTTTCGAGCAAGGGAACCTTTACCTTTTTTTTAGGGTGGATTGAGGACTACCTGAGAACAGCCTGGGAGCAAAATGGGAGTATACAGTGCAGGGTAAATCCATGAATATTCCATCCCCTCATCCTTAGACAAGTCCTTTCTGCAAGTGAACAATGAGGTCAGGATCTAAGTCATACAAAGGATTTCTTTTCCTTTGGATTGACAATTTTTACCCCAGATGCCAGTCAACCAATTTAATCAAGCAATGAATGAACAAATTGACTATGATTCATATGATTAATGCATTGAACTGGGTGCTGGCTGTCTTTTAGACTTCTCTTTAGAGTATTCAGTGGTCCAGTTTTGCCAAGGCCCACATGGGAATCTCTGTGCTTTGGTTTTACTGAGAGCTGCCCAAGCACAAGTATCTGAGGAATAGCCAAGTGCTGGACTGTTTATCAAGAAGTGTAGGAGGGCCTTGATTTTAAGGGAGCAGCTCACATGGCAGGCTGGGAAGGCCTGTTGCCTTCACACCTTGCTTCCAGGGATCACAGCAGTCCTAGTTGGAAAGGACTGGATTTGAGTCCAGTAGCACCAGAAACCCCCAAGATTTTTTGGAGTATAAGCTCTTGAGAGTCAGAGCTCCCTTTATCAGATACGAGTTCTACTGCACACCAATGTGGCTCATGCTCTGAAACTGTTTGGAAAGGAGATGCTAGACTAGATGAACCTTTGGTGTGATCCAGCATGGCTTTTCTTATGTTTGAAGGACCCCCTTAACCTGCTCAGTGGTTGACCCTAGCCTCAAGGTCTAAGTAAACACGATGTTTTCCTCACACACCTCTTCAGTTGCTATGGAAGGGGTTTACAGCACCAATCTCCCACTTCTTTTGGTTGACTTCTTTCTGGACTGGGGTGCCCTTAGTGATTCTGGGGCCCCATCCAAAACTTTTGCACAGGGCCCAGAATCACTGCCAGCCCCCTCCCCCTGAGACCAAGCAAGGGATGGTCCTCACCCGGTGCGATACGGGCAGGAGCTACCAGCGCTACTGAAGTCAGCTGTCCAAACCCCAGACATGGCAGATGATGCTGGCCAGGCAGGCTCTCCCTCCTGTGGGGGGGGGGAGGGCATGGGGGGGGGAGGTTGGGGAAGGGCCCTTTTCCAGGATTGTTTCCTCCCACATTTGTCCCTGCTGACCTCCCTTCCCATGTATACAGTGTGCTGCATTTCACACAGGCCCCAAAGAGTCTTCCAACATCCCATCAGGTGTTCCCTTTTCTGAAGCCACAGGACCGTCTACTTCAGCTCCAATTAACTGAGAGGTGCTGAGGCTTTATACATCTCACGCTCTGTGGCAGCTTCCCTGGACCAGGTGAGGTGGGGTAAGTCCCCATCCCAACAAATACAACGATCATGATCAATGCTCCCTCTAAGCTTTGGGAGACTTGTGAGCAAAAATTCTACTTTGTGAGCTACTGGCCTTAAAGTCGTGAGCAAACAGTTTGGCTACTGCCTAAGTTAGTTTGCTCTGGAGCCCTCCTTCCTGAGTGAAGACACAAATGTGTGACCTGGAGGCTAAAAAACTGTGAGCTAGCTCATACTAACTCAGCTTAGAGGGAACATTGATCATGATTTAAATAGGAATACAGCTCCTCAAATGCTGGCTCTTTTTGCTATCCAGGTGCAGCCTGTGGATGGCCTCTGCTCTCCTTTCTCCTCTTTAATTCCCTCTGAGTAGCTAGGTAAGCTTGAACAGCCCTTCTCCCAAATGCAGGTGGCTCTGAGTACTCTGTGGCTGCTCAGGAACTGAGCCTCCACAGCCATGTCAGCCAATTTTACTATACAGAATCAGTACCCTCACATTTCAGGCACAGAAGAAAAAAATACTGTCCTCCACATCTGGCCACCCTACTTGATTCCCCTGATTTCTCCTGAACTACTAAGTGAGCTGTCATGGGGGCTCCTCCATTCTTATGCTTGTTCTTTTCATGTAGGATGGCTGGAATATCCTCAATTTTCTCATTGTGGTCTTTCTGTTCTTCGGCCTATTAATTCCTGTGCTGTCTGACAGAACATTTTTTCACATCCTCAGGTAGGAATTGGAAGGTGGGCAGCCTCTGGTCTTTTCATGATTGCTCAACTGTGGGACAAGTTGTATGGGCCTGCCTGACTTGTGGTCTATCCAGCCAAATGCTCCCTGTGAGTGATGTCTGACCATCCCCCCAAAACGTGATTATTCTCCTGGCTTTGCTTGCAGTGTCAGAACCTGAGAGGTTGTTGAACACCTAGCAAGTCACAATATATGGGTCTCATGCACTCTCCAGCTATCTTTCTTTACCATTTACAGTCCCTATTTCCTGATGCCTGCCAAGGTATATCTCTGTTCCTGTTATGCAAATTGCTTTACCAAGTCTTGTACACAAGGGCTAAGATTCCCAACACTGTCTGGGCAAATGGTGGGAGGTTTGGAGGGCAGTGCCTGAAAAGGGTGGCGTTTGGGGAGGAAGCAAGTCACTTCTGGCAGTGCTCCATCACTATGGGGGGGCATTTTTTCCTCTACTTTCTTTCTTAAAGTACAGGAGATTGGGGCTGTGGACAGAGTATTCCTCACTGGCAGAGCATTTGCATTGCATGCAGAAAGTTCCAGGTTCAATCCCTGTCATCTCCAGTTAAAAAGAATCAGGTAGCTGGTAATTTAAAGACCTCTGCCTGAGACCCTGGAGTGGTGCCGTCAATCAGAATAGGCAATACTGATCTTGATGGAACAGTGGTGTGACTTGGTGTAAGGCAGCTTCTTGTATTCACAACCAACAACAGAACTATACATTTCAACAACTGTCTTTCAACTGAGAACATAATTGTAATTTGCTTTGCAGGCCAATCTGTCAGAGTATACATAAATATGATAGCATTTAGTCTGCAATCCTTGGTGCAAAAACAGAGTTGTCTGTATTTTCCTTTTTAAAACATTGAAGGGTATGTGATCTCATGCCCTGCCCCCAGCATTTCACAGATGTAGACAGGGGCTTTCATGTGATGCCCCTATTTTCATATTTGGGACAACTGCCCGAGTCCATCACTGATGGGTCTTCCCTACCCTTCTTATGCTAAATTAGTTTAACCTCATCCCCACTGTGGGCCTGATCCAAATTCCCTCATGGCTGGAAATCGCCCTGAAGGCAGACCATCCTCGCTTGACCCCCAACTGTCTTCTAGCTAATGCTACAGAATTCTCAGTGACAAAAAGTTACATCCTCCTTAGCTGGACAGGAGATTGCCAACTGATACACATAATTCTTTCTGTTCTTTCCAGAATATTGCGACTGATGCAGGTCTGTACCTTAGTGGCTGGTCTGGCTAGGATGATACAGGTGATCTTGAAGTCCACGCCTGACATGCTTAACATCATGGTCCTGCTTTTTTCTATCATGCTGGTAAGATGCCCTTATCCTGTTAACTCTAAACTAGGGTTGGGGCTGTGGCTTAGTGGTCAAGCATCTGCTTTGCAGGCAGAGGATCCCAGGCTGTCCCTGGCATCTCTAGTTAAAAAGCTTGTAGGTGATGTCCAAAGACCTCAACCCAAGACTCTGAAGAGCTGTAGATGGGGTGGTGGTAGGGATCACAAACATCCAAATTTAAGGGGGGAGGGGCATATTAAATAATAACCCGGGGAGGGGCATATTACATAATAGAGCATCTATTTTGTGCATTGAATGTACCAGGTTTAGTCCCTGGAATCTCCAGTTAGAAAGATTAGGTGATGTGAGAGACCTCTACCTGAGACTCTGGACAGCCACTGCCAATTAAAGTAGACAATAATGACCTTGCAGCCAGGGCTATATTTGGGCAGGAACGCACAGGAACGGAGTTCCGGCTGGCTTTAGAGTTGGCCATGCCCACTACAGCCAAAACCTCTGTGCGTGCCTGGTTACAGAGGGAAGGCCTGGAGAGCGACCCCCCCCCCGCGACTCCGAGGCCGGCCAGCCAGGGGCCCCTGGAAGGATCGGGGAGGCATTTAAATGCCTCCCCGTGCCTTCCCTGGCCTGTTCAAGGGCCGGCTAGCCCAGGGAAGGCATGGGGGTGTGGCCTAATATGCTAATGAGTTTCTGCTGTTGGGTGTGGCCTATTATGCTAATGAGTTCCTGCTGGGCTTTTTCTACCAAAAAAGCCCTGGCTGTTGCTAATTAGAGTAGACAAGAGGGGGACCCGCGATACTCGCGGGGGGGG